AAAAAAAAGAACAATGAATTTTAATTGACAACCATATCCCTTTTTTCAAGAAACCAATTCACATAGTTAATTATTCCTAGTACAACTATTCAACAAAATCAAACTATATTACAATTAAGCCTTTGACAATCCACATGATTATTGACCCCCTTTTTGTTCCTTGAATTTTAAGGAACATTTATTGGAAACTGAAGCCCCCATATCTCTTCCCCCCTTTTTTTCCTCTCCTATCAACATTAAAATTTCTCAAGCCCTCACATGAATGCAAACACATACCATCAAATTATCAACCCTTTTCATCCTTGGTTTATTACATATAAATAAGGCTTCTTTTTGTCATCAATCAACATAAAAAAAAAAAGAAAGAAAAAAAAACCCTTTTAGCCAAATTTTCTCCTTATTTCAATCCTCCATGCTTCACCTTCAAACACTTCTCCTCCTTCACCATTACTCTCCACATGGCCATGAAAATCCCTAGCTTTTTCCCTCCCCTCCTTTTGTTTTTCCTCATCCTAATGCTATTTCATGATTTTCACAACTTCAAGTTCCTCCAAAACACTTCAAAGACAAATGGGCCTTCATCTTTAGGGTTTCGTCAACCGACCGTCGTGCATCGAAGAGCATTGGCCGCGGCCAAGTTCGATTTATCGTCATTCGTCAAGCACCGTCACCGCAAGGAAAAAACGGGCCCACCGAGTGGAAACGAGATCGACCCGCGTTACGGTGTCGAGAAGCGACTCGTCCCTTCCGGACCGAACCCATTGCACCATTGACTAAGAGCTTTGAGAATGGTTAGTTTGGATATGATCATCTTTTTTTTTTTTTTTTGTTTCAAGATAGTTCTCAAAAATCAAGTTGATGTGTGAATGTGATATGATCCATGTGTGTACATTTTATGATCATGATGGGAAGAGAATTAAAGTTTTGGAGTAATATATCACATGAATGATTCATTATTGTTTTATTTTTATTTATTTATTTATTTATTTCCATTATGTTACTTATGATCAATGATTCTTGAGCAACAAAAGCTAAGCTATGAATGACCATAATTTTTCAACAGTGTATGTTTCTTACAATCAATGAAAATTAATCAAGTGTCATGAGTAACTGAGACGGCACGGCAGGAACGAGTGAAAATGGGTAATTATCTATCTATTTATAATGATAGTTATGATATTATTATAATCATTAATGTGGTAAGTTGAGCTCACACTAGTAGATTTTGGTTATATATATTTGTGTAAATTAATTAAGGGATGAGTCGTCGACTCTATACAGATTTTTTAACGTTAGATCAACACACATATTCATATAGACACATAGACGTGTGTTGAAAAAAGTTGATGACTGGACTGCAATCATTGAAATTAACCGTTAATTAAGTTAGAGAGTATCGTCATAATTAAGATACCAAAACTTTCAAATTAATCGAAAAGATCAATTTTTCAAATTAATGTTATAATTTTTTTTATAACATCCCAAATATATATGATACCTATTTCATGTCACATTATTGGATAAATAATTAAATTAAATTCAAAATAGGGGCATTGAGATTGCTTGAAGTAGAAATTATTGATAGCGTGCATATGTGGGCAAATTAAAACCGGTCCGTGTTTTGTGATATTTTGTTTACAAAGCCAATTGAGTTGTTTAATTGTTTGCTCGATTAATTTCTGGGACACTTTGTTTGCTAACTATTACTTTCTTTGCTAGATTTTTTTTTTAAAAAGAAAATAAGAAATAACCAATACACGTATACATGTGCAATGCAACGATCTCTAATACAAATAAAATAAATTATTATGTAATATAATAATTATTTTTTCATCTCTGTCATTAATTTTTATATTATTTTAAGTGTGTAAAGTTTAATAGTCCAATTGTAAATTACTAATTAACATACTCAATTTTTTAATTAAAAAATAATTGTATGTTATGAAAATTTAGTTTTTT